AATAAATAGCATGCATATAGAATCCATTTTATGTCTTCTTTTTTTTCTTCTTTTCATTTGCTGGACGCTCTAATTCACGTACAGGCACATGTGAAGATTCGATTGTCTCTCGACTAGAATCTTATGAGATTTAAAAGACTTTTTAAAGACATCTATATGTATAGTATTGAACTATATTATGTAACTTATATATAGCAGGGAAATCGACAAAATAAATTGGTGATTTTGTCGTCAACAAATCTTGCCACTTCAGTCAAGAATCTTTAACGAAAAAAGATGAAAAATCAGTAAAGAATTAAAAGCAGAATCATGTCTGATCTATCAAGACAAAATTGACGATTCTTATCTGAAATGACAAGAGACAAGAATCTTGCAAGAATACCCACAAGAACGTCAACCAGTGTTTTATACAGAAACCAGAGTAAGTTTTCTTCTGTTTCCATGTATTCATTCCATTTTTTTCTCGCATGAATTCTTTTTCTATAGTTCGAGACATATTGGTGAATAAACTTATTAGATATATTTTTCTATTCACTTATATAGTTCATCTCATTATCACGAATAAAAATGCGTTCTATTGTTCCCGCTAACCACGTTGTGGGTTAGCTGAAGTCAGTCCAGATAATATGTTCCATTTATTAAGTCGACTGAGTGCACAAGTGCGCTCATAGATAACGATTCGCTCGTAAGCATGCGTGTGAACATATGAAGAATGAAAAATTTCATCCTGGTGTGTATTGTGTCTTTAATAGAGTCTTTTCAGTCGTAGATAGGACATTTTTAAAGAGGGTTTACATGCAGACAGTTACGATAAAACAGATAAATCGTTACATAAAGTAACACTATAGTTATACTACACGCTAAATCGGGTTAACATGATTAATGAGACATAAATAGTTTGATGCGCTGGTAAAAGTAGCTAATTTTTACACTATTCCAGGAAAATGAATTTTGTAACGTTTTTTAGCGTGGTTACAAAGAAAAGAGTCGACTGTACAAAGAGAAAATGATTAAAAATACGTTTTTCATTCGGCGATATGTCAACCTTATTGTTTTCAACCGTTAATTTTCGAACGAAACCGAGACATTTGTGTGGCAAATTCAAAGAAATCAGTAATTTTTTGAAATTGATGTTCAATAGTTGTCCGATAATGCCATTAAGAAAAATTTTCGAATTTTACACTTTCATTTCATAGAGGTTCTTAATCATGGCTAGTATTAATTACGATTAGCATGATCCAATGGTGTTTAGAAAATTAAAAGATATATAGACATCTCTTTTATTGGTTTCAAACGAGCTATTTTAATCTCAATTTTCTAACTGTGTAAAAATTATAATGATGTAAGATCATAATTATTAAAACTGCAAATAAAAAGAATTATCCCCATACACTAATTAATTTGATATTTTACGTTCAGTGCTAACATTCTCTGAGACGTTCGCCGGAAGATCGATATATGATACGTATGGGTTTCATCAAGTTTTGATCAAAATATTTGCGACAGAACAGACTTTGCTGAAAAGTTTTACCAGGTTTATAATTGGAACTAAAAAATGATGTTTGCTACAGCTTGATTATACGTTGAGAAATTAAGAAAAAAATTTTGAATTGTAACGAACATTCAGTAGGGAAAACTCTTTTCTTCATGTAATGTCACATATAATTGCATATCTAAACAGTGACATGGTTTTCGAGCATAAGCTTTTCGTTTAAGAGATTACATATCAAGTATCAGCAAAAAAAGATAATCATAATGAAAATCGGAAAAGAAGTAAAGAAAGAACCGTCAATAGGTGAACAACTGTATTTGCACAGGGAGCATAAGTATAATAGTATAGTATTGTTCACTTAAATATTCCTATCGATTTCCTGTGCAGAGCGACCAGCTTGCTAAGGATAGTCCTTCTCCTTTCGTTTTTAAAAGAAAGCTCAGTTTGAATTGATGCTGTCGAAATATAGCTGAAAGTGTTTTTTTACAAAATAAGGTATCCCAAACTCTTTACGACCTTTTACAATTTCCGAAAAAATAAATTTATCAACATTTTCAATCTTTTAAAAACTAAAAAATTGAGTCTTGGATCTGTGGTAAAAGTTTTAGTCCGAACAAACAAAGTTTTAACGGCACAGTCCAGTGGAAAACAATGGTGGTCAGAAAATTCTATAAAAATGTAATTTAGGAAATTGAGCAAAAAATATTCCTATTCTATTTTTTAGGATCAAGTTGTAGTGAAAATTTCAATTGTCTATGATCAATTGTTACGATTCTGTAGTAAGGTCAGAAATGTCAGGAGTTACCGCTAATAGAACCAGAAAATAGTAGGCCATATACATACTTCAAATCGAAATTGAAACAGTCTTATTAATAAGACTCTAAATTACTATATTTTTTGACATTCTCAGAGCAAAAAATACTCTTTTCATTTATTCATATCAACTTGCTCGCTTGGATGCACGACATTATTGCGCATTTGCTACATTGTGTGAGTAAAAGAAGAGAATAAATCATTGGAAAAACAAAAAAAATTGATTTTTCATTCGTATGATAGTAAGTCAAAACGTTAACCTCTATTCATCAGACTTTTCGCAAGATCAGCCTTGCAGAAGAAACATTAAATAGAACAAATTATAGTAATATCATTGAGCAGTTAATAAAAATTCACAATTTCATTAAACCTAGAGGGCAGCATATGATATAACTTTGTTTCATTGTTGCAAATATATTATTAGTTTTTTACAAAAACATTGTTGACAGTCAAGAGTATGCGTCTCTCATCCCTGTACTAAAAATGTACCACTGACGATAAAAAACATGTAACTTCTGAACTAGAGAGTATTTTTTAAAAAGCGGTATCGAACACCTAAAAAAAAAAGGTGTTCTTCAGTTTTTTAAAGAACTAGAAAATCAAAGGGAAATGTCGTTCTGCATTTAACCCAAATAGAGACCTGAAATTCAACAACAAATTTTGAGTTCCTGAGAGTTGACTAACAGAATTTCAGTTCTCTATTTGAGACAAACGTAGAATGAAACTCCCATTGATTTTCCAGCTCTTTGAGAACTTGAAGAACACCTTCTTTTAGGGTGAATGGAGGTAAGCGTTTTGACGGCTTCTTCTCTTCTTTTACTCACATCATATGGCGAAGACATCCGCAAATGAACAAAATCATGGCGTACGCCCGATGGTAAAAGGGTTTCTCACAAAAAAGCGAAACTTTAAAACCGATGGCATCCTTTTTGCCTGAGTCACTCACTTCTAGTCCCTACTGACTATAATTTTCTTAACGGTATGCTTACCTGCGATACGTTATAATAATTTCTCCTTTTCTTATAATGATGATTGTTTGATTAAATACGTACTGGAATGACGCTGGTACTCATTAATATTAATAAATTTTAAATACAGAATAAATTATGTAACAATTAGTACACTGTACTGTATGATTTTTCATTTTGTTCTTTCACGAGAGAGAACGTATAACTCACTATGTGCGAAATAGAAGCCGATGTACATAAGATTATGTATTTTCGATAGAGAATAAGAGAAAAATAGAATATAAATATTAAAAAAAACACGTTCTTTACAAGAAAACATCTACATTAAGTTTAAAACAAATTAAAATAACGTTTCAACCTATACTATTCGTATAATCATGATGGTGTAGAAATCACTCGTTTAATACACTAATTTATAATACTGCTGTTAATCAGAAATTTGAAGATATAAGATATAATCATAGTGAATGAAATAGCTATAAAAATGAAATGCCACTTGAACAAATGATAAACATTTTCTATTCGAATTCTTACGGAGTCAATCAATTCTTAGATAAAAAATGTGTATATTGTTCTAGCCTGTACTCGAAATAGATGGTAAAAAAACTCACAATCGTTGCAACTATTGCACATTTCGTTGCTAAATAGTTAAGTTTAGTTTAGCTTGTTCGAAAAATAATTGAAACAAGAAAAAGTAGATAGTATTGTTGATACGTAAGGAGTTTAATGTATCAGTATTATGTGTTGGTATTTATGCACGAAGTTGAGGTTAAAATAAAAGAAGGAAAGCATCAATTTTTAAATGAACATGCACCAAAACATTGCGGTAATTTAGAAAATTAATTGAATAAGTTATTTGTTTCCTGGATACACATGATTCCTATCTACTTTTAGCTCAAAGTGTACGTTCAATAATTCATGTTGGAAATTTGAATATTTAAACAAATTACAATTTAACGTTTTATAATGCCATATTGGTTCTATTGGTTATGAAAATATATTAGATATATATCCAAAACTAAAATGTACTTATGAAGAAGTTGAAAAAGAACTAAAAATAGCTGTCTATATGTCAAATCGAGACCACAAGTAATGAATGTACCAGTAAATAAGCACACATAACATCTTTAATTATTATTACCATTTGTTGTTGTCCTTGTTTTTTATGAAGGTGTGTAGCTAACTGTTTATATACTTTTTATTATTTTTCATATTGAGGTTTTCTCCAATTATAGTGCGACACCCAATATTGTGATTAATTAAAGAGTCCTTGTCAATCTCGGTCTTCTGGGTATTAACCGTATGTTTTCATCAAATTACGATGTTCAATTATGGTTGGCTGGTAAAGCGGAATTTTGAACAGAAATTCTTTAATGAAAATTTTGGATTTTCACTTGTCTAAGGCCGTTAAAAACTCCGTTATCCAAAGACAGGACGTATGCAGAGCGAGTTATTATTATCCAACATTTTCAGCTTTCCTCCAAGAAAAGTTAAGTCAATGTCAATGAATTTGATCAACCTAGTAGATAATGATTAACTGATCAAAAGCAATCATGTCGACTACTTGAAGTGTCGACTCTTTGTCTCAAAATGTAGTATATAGCGCGTATATTCTACAAAACTTAGTAACGACTATTTCAGCTAAAAATTTTCTGTAAAACTTCTAGCGCAGCATTTCTTAACTGTCGAGTAAAAAGTTTTTTGTTTTTGTTTTGTAAGAAGTGACTATGTTATACATGAATCGATATTATATTTTTTCATTTTCTCAATTATGTATTTTATTTCTTTTTGTTGCGTGTCATAATAACAATAGTGACAACGATCATTTAAAATCGAATGCTATTATCGATAAAAATCGAGAACATTCTCACAATATTATTTTAACAACAAGTACACAAAGATCCCCCATATATTTTCGAAATCAAATTCCTCCACCAACATCAACAACTACAAAAATGTCGTTGACCATTTCAGCAAAACCAGAAAAAATGATGTATAAAGATTTGAAACCTGTTGAAAATTTTATCAAAATATTTATGGTTGGTAATAATGTTCTATTACAAAATCTCACTGCAACAATGACTGAAACATTTATTCATGACACAATCGAACAATCAAATAATGATAATTATCATCATGAATTCATTCCATCAATATCAACGATGAACGATATGTCAAATTTTTTTTTCTCTAACTTCTTATCACAACCATCAAGACGTACTCATAACTCATCAATTTCCATGATTATGACATCAATCAAAAACCCAATATTCCAAAGTCCACCGTTCATCTCGATTCCAGTTCCACATGATACACAAATGTTTAATAATATTATAAACAACAATTATGATCCGATATTGTCTGCAATAATGCAAGAACTTATGTATAAAAATAGGCAAATCACAACATCAACGTCATTTGATCACACAATAGAAAATACGCCAACGCCAATGACAGTAAAAACGATACAATTACCAACACAAATCAGACCGACACCTATTGTCAAACTAAAAGAAGATGAAAATAGAAATGTTAGATTCTATCAACAATTATTCCGTTTCTTATTTGAAACTGCCAGTGGTTTAATGTTATTGTCAATTTTATCTATTATGTTATGCTTTTGGATAATTGCTGTTTCTATACATACACCAAAACATCATCATACAACTATTCGTTATATACCGATGGATAATAAAGATCCTAGAAAACAGATACACAAGTTACTTCAACAACATGATTGTAGTGTTTAGTATTTATTATATAAGTTAGTTATATACAAACGCGATACTAGACTTTTCTCAAATATTTATTGAGTGTGGTAATAGTTTAGATTAAAATTTAGAATTGTTCAAAATCATTTACGTGAGCTTTTAAAGATGAAGTCAAATTACGTGTCGTGGTTGAATTGGTAAAGTAGTATTTGATTTGTCGGCTTAAGATGCCAAACCACTCTGCAAATAGTAAAGATTAATTTGCTCACGTCGTCACCATTAAATGAAAGAAATCCAAGAGGTTTCTTTTACCATTTCAAAAGACATGTTCCGCATCAAATATAAATCAATTCTATTAATTTCATTCATATGTACTTACTTTTACACAGTAATCAAACCATTACAAAAAGCGATAGACAGAATTATGAATCAAATACAAAACATATCCTTTTTTTTTGTTAGTAAATAAATCTTCCAAAATTCGTATTTTATTTAAGGAATTTTATTTCATCCTTGGAATTCTAATCGGTTGTTAGTTTACGCATCGATAATAAAACAAGCTCGATCAAATAAAAAAATGAACTATTTCCAAATCATTCAGTCATGCTGTAGAGCTAGTTTATAGAGAATTTGACCAAAACAAATACAGACAACAGTGACTCATCAACAAACTTTTGCACAGGGAATGATCGTTATAGTCTAAGTACTTTTTAAAAGTATGACGACTTCCGAGTCTTCGAGTTGAAAGCAAGATTAAATGAGAGCAAATAGGATTGAATGAGACTGACAAACTCAGTATCAAATTTTCTGAACAGTCTTATCTAATTTTAATTCAATTAATTGTATTAAATCGTCTTTAAAAGTATAAACCTTGAGGAAAAATGTTCATATTCTCCGGATAAAAACCAGTTTTCTCTGTCACATTTAAGAGGATCTGATGGGATTTCTACTTGATACTGCCAGATAGTATCCTATCACACGAAATGCAGGATATGATAGGATCTCTGTTATAGGAACCTAGTATATCCTATCATATTCAATAACCGGTACACATAAGAAGAGTAATACAAAATGAAAATGAAGAACAGAGAAGAAAAAATTCAATAGTTGAAAAACGATGTAACAACTCTAGTCCAATTTCCCTGGAAAAATCCTTAGAAAATCTCCGAAAAAATGCAAAAGAGTGAGTCCTCAGGGAGTCACTGAAAAATGCGGGAAGAGTCCTTAATAACTGTGAAATCCCCACGGATTCACTGGTGACTCCCTGTGGAATCCCTGATTTTCAGGTAGTGGAAGAAAGAAAAATAATGCCCAGAGACACCGTCGGGATTTCTTAGGCACAATGCACAACATATGCGCCGTTTTGTCTTGCGTCTGTAGAAGTATATAAAAAGTGCAAATTTTGAAGAAAACTGATCGCTTTTTTATTTCCAGATTAATTTCTTGTTTATTGTTAGATGGGTCTTTTTCAGATTAAGTGCCGACACGCTCTTGTATGCGCCTCGTCGGAGTCCAAGGAAAGTGGACTAGGGTAATGATTTTTTTATAGTGACTGCCTTGAAAGTCCCTAGGGATTCCCTGAGAAGTCTGTTAGAACTCCTTGGAGAGCTTTTTCGAGGATTCCCTAAGGAGGTTTTCAGGAAAAGTGGACTAGGGAGTAAAACATCTATATATAGATGTTACACATACCTATAGGTATGTGCCAGTGGGAGCTAGATAATCGAGAAAGAACGTAAAGTAAGAAATACAGTGAGCTACAGATACGTACAATAACAAAATTATGAACGAGCTCGCCATTCTAATCGTGGTTTTAACTAGATTTTTTTGAGAATATTATGTATGCTATTGTGCCAGCTTGAGCTATTCATTGCCACGATTTAGATTTTGTTTCTGTTGATCTTAATATGCGACTTACCTTGCATCGGCATGAGAAATTTGTTCAATGACTTTTGCGATATGACTCTTCTGTTGTTGTTACTTGAATAAAGTCGAATAACGTCTGCAAAAAACGGCTGTTTATTTGAACATTCATTCAAATAGAAGTGAATTTACAAGAAATAGTAGCTGTTAAATGACTGCAGAAGTAGAAAAAAAGTATATGATAAAAACACACACGCACACTCAAAAAGACATAAGAATATTTTGTCTGTGAAAAAATTTAGGATATTTTTTTCATAACTAGTTGGCGGTGTTCATTTAGGACAATAATTATAATTATGTGGCGAAATTTCAAAGCATATCTTGAAGAAAGAGGAGAATTATATATATCATCTATAGTTTCCTTCGGTATCTGATTTAAATGTCCTTAATTCATCTTCAAGTAAACGTATGCGATTGTCTTTCAGTAGTAATAATTCACGAATTGATTTTAATTCTTCTTGTTGTTTCATGTACGCTTGGCGATACTAAAATAAACAGAAAACTAAATAAATCATACGAGTAGCGGAAAAATCTGATCATTGATCATCCACAGAGTTAATTATCACCATCAAAAAACCTTTTATATTAACAAATACAGGGTTTCCTTTTTTTAGAGTGGGGAAATTTTTTTGATGGACAGTCTTTTTAAAAATTCTGCAGGCAGTTTTTTTTCTAAACAAGTGAAAGATTTGTTCACTGAAAAGAATTTTTGTTACTCCGCATCAGAACTTATTTTTTCAACGAAAATAATATTTAATTCTCATCCAAGTCATCTTGTAGAAATAACGATATATTTCGTTCTTTGACTCGCCCTGAATGAGAAATAAAATCTTTTATAACAAAATTAATAGCTTCTGAAAAATTTCCACCTTGAATTGTCTTTCTATTTCGAAGGACTGTCTGCCATTTATTTTGACAGGTAGTTTGTAGCTGTCGATAATGGCTGTTGGTCTCTTACAATTTATCAGATCAAATACTTGCAAGATAATCGTGACATGTGTTGTGTTCACAAAAAGGTTGGACAAATCCTAGGCAGAACAAAAGTTCCAAAAATCTGGCGGACAGTGTCAAAATGTAGGGTGGAGAGACTTCCCCACCCTAACCGGAAACCCTGAACAAATAATATCTCAAATTCACGCATACAAACCATAAAATACTTTATAAAAATCAATTAATTCTTATTTTTCTTGATAAAAATCAAAAGCTTCTACTAATAATTGACACAAACTTAACTTACGTCTATTCCATTGGTAGAATGTCCGTTAACGTGTTCACTACCATTGTTAGTTGTTGTTGTTGTTGTTGCTGGATCAACACTCCATACTTTCTTTTTTATTTCAATACTTCGTCGATTTCCTTGCTGTTGTGGACTATTTGTTACATCATTGAAATGAAGAAATTTTTCTCTAAAATTAAAGAAAACATTGTCTAAGAAAAAAATCTTTAAAAAATGCAATAAGCATGCATTCCTGAAATAAAAAATAAAAATTTTGGAAGTAGGTAAGGGGATAGGGATATCACGAACGCGCGCTTATCCATGCTGCTGTCACACACCGCAATGATCATGCATTTATTCACATAGCGTATATTTCTACCTATTGTTATTATTCAAATCTACTGCCGGTAACTCTGATTCTTGACGATGAAATGAAAATGATCGATTTAAATTAGAATCGCTAGTTGGAATTTCATCATTCGTACTGAATATGGATCTTAACGCTTTCACACACGACGAACGTTCACCGCTAATTGGATCAGTTTGTATTGGCGGAGTAGTTGTTTCACACGTTTGTTGATCAATCTCAAGTGGTTCGGTGAATGAACGTTGTGCTAGTTTAATTGGACGGAGATTTCTTCTCGGTACAGAAACAGATGTAATAAATTGTTTTTCATCTTCAATGGATGGAACAACCGTTTTAAGAGGTTGTTTATTGACAACTATCTCTTGTTTAGGTAGTGAATGATCAATATTAGTATATTGTTCTTCTTTAAAATAGGCAGCAGCTGATGGTGAAAATATTGTTGGTGTATTTTTAGCTAAACGTTCTAATGTATTATTTGGCGAAAGTTTTTGATTATTATTCGTGTTTACGTCTAACAGTGGTCGTGGTTGTAGTTCTCTCATAGGAGTTTGTGTTACTGTACGTTTTAAAATTGATGATGGTTGAGGTGATGAATATTGATCTTTTTCAACGGTTGTTGATCGTTTATTCGGTAGTCTATAGATCGGCTCTATATTGGTTTTTGCATAATGATCACTTAATTTTTCAATGGAGGAAGATGACTCAGAGGATTTGAGTTCTTCAATAGGATTAAAATATTCGGAAAGATCCGGTGTTGAACGTGCATGATTTATCGGATTTATTGAATGAAGAGTTTTGTATAAGTTAGGTCGACCTCGAGTCATTATCGTCGTATCATCACTATAAACCAAACTACGATATTGAAGTTTACATCTATTGTATCACATTTTCAACTATACTATAATAGCTATACTCTATGGTTTCTCATGACTGCTCAAATGGAATTAATCTATGCACTGCGAGAGTCTTATAATCTTACAGCACTAAAACCATTTCCTGATCATGAGATGAGGTTTATTACGAGAAATATTTTAATGTTTCTGGTAATAGGTCAATGAAACAGCATATAATTCTATACTAAAAGCTCAAACATCACTCTTGATACCTGCTAACACCAGCCTTTTTCTTAGACTTCAATTTCAATGGTAAAGTCGCACAGGATGATGATTTTAATAGTGTATCAGCTATCTGAGTAGCTGATATACTTGTACAATTTCTTAATTTTCGTCGCTGAACAGCAGCATTTGATGATTTTGGTACAACATCTACGCTTTTTTTATAAAAATTTTTTTCGTCTGATTCTACGGTAGCAATACTAGATTTATCGTTCACAGTTTGTAAACTACTGAAAAATAATGGGTATATAGTTCTCTACTGATTTAAAGCTTTTTAAAGTTCAATGAATATTACCTGACATTATTGAATTCTGTACTAGTAGATGGCATTTTTAATGATTCTATCTTTCTCAGTCCTTTATGATTTGCCAGTGTTGATGATTTTAATATTGGTGAAGTTTCTTGTTGTTGATTATTTTTTTCTAAATTTATTTTATTATTTTGTTTTTCTAAATCAAGATCATGACTATTATTATTATTATTATTATTATCGTTTTGTTGAAGTTGGGGTAGTGATTTGGCAACTGGTTTATTGATTAATGTGGGTGCTATCTCAGCAACTGGTGGTGGTACCGTTCGAGTTGAATGATAAAGATGATTATGGCGTTGTATTGATGGAGGAGTTTGACTAGTCGAAGATTCAATAGTACGATATGTAGTAATTTTTGGCATATTTGTTTCAGTTCGATCTTTCATTGAAACAAGTATTGGTTCACGATCACATCCGTTAATCCATTCATCAGCTGATAATGCCGGATAAGGTCCTGGTGTATCGGGATAAATATCAATTTGAAATGCTTCAGCTTTTCGAGGGACTATGTGAAAAGTTAAAGTTTATTAATTTTTGCTTGAAATAATCGGTTTTCCGTTACCTATCATAGAGATTGGTTCACAAATAGATCCAGTTGCAAATAATTTATAAAATCTCATTATCTCATTTTTTGTCACATCAAGTCCGATTTTCGGCATTATACCTAAATATTCAGAATAAATTCAGTGTCAAAATTCACATAATTAAATATTTAAATACTAACCTAAACATCTTTGTGGAGATGCTGATTTGTATTCTGATAAAAAATGAAGATATGGTTCTGTTTCATTCACTTCGTAATAACGAATATTTCCATCACCCTGAAAAAGTTATTTCGTGTGTCGTTATTCAAAACACTATATGTTTCGTTTACTTTTCCAGCAAGATACACTGTTCTTGTATCATGATCATAAAATGGTATGAGTGCACCCGCACTAAAATCAACAGTTTCCATGAGAAGTGGTTTCGATAAATCACTCTAAAATAGAGTAACGAATGAGATACATATTTGAGCAAATCACAGTGATTCTATACCGCATTCCATATACCAATTTGTCTTTCAAATGTTTTTCCAAAACCGGTTGATAGTAATCGTTTCATATCACCAAGAAAAACAATTTTCGATGTTTTTGGGCCTTGATGACCGATACCCTCCTTAAATAGAACAATATCAAAATTGAAATATGAACTATAAAGGCGTTTTTTTTATGAGATATATTACCGTTACAACTCTTCCAGATCTTGCTTCGATAACTCGAATTCGTTTATCTTTACATGTTGTGGCAAATAATGATCCGTTTTTATTCCATGTTATTGACTGAATGGCATCCGGATGACAACGATAAACTTGAATGGGCTCAGCTCGTTCAACATTCCATAAAACAACCTATTTTTTTACCAATTTTGACGTGAATACTAGATTATTTACGAGGGAACATCGCTAGATGTACAACTCCAATTTTAATTATATTGGGTGTATAGATACTATACATGGTCTTAGTAAAAAGCCTAAAAGGATTCTGGCTCCTATCATTTCTTCCAAAAATTATAGAATTTTTAATTTTGCGTATCATTTAAACAAAACCGTAGCGACCTGAAATTTTTTTCTATGGTCGTTTTAGATGTCTAGATAGTCTGTCTACAGAATGTTTTCATTAATCAAGAAGGAAAGTTTGAGGTTTCAAGTCGATTAGATACCGTCCTAGTTCAAACCATAAAGGTTGCCAACGCTTTTTCTTTTTCTGTTGGTACGCCTTGTACAAGCAAAATTAAAAATTCTGTAACTTTTGAAAAAAGTGATAGGGGCCGGAATTCTTTTAGGCTTTTTACTTGGACAATGTATAGTATCTATATCCCCAATATCATTGAAATTGAAGTTGTACATCTGGCGATGTTCTCTCGTTAGTGAAATATTACAGATCTTACTTGATGATCTAATCCAGCACTTAAAATAAGATTTTGAGCTGTTGGATGCCATTCTATGTAGTCTACACGTCGCTGGTGTCCGTGTAAATCGACTTTCCATTGATACATATCACTACGTAGGCCACCATCAGGAATATACCAAACTTTTACCTACAAATAGGACATTGTGTAACATTTTAATTGTTCTTTTTAAAAAAGATCGAATCCTGATAAATAAATCAATATATATCTTACAGTTCCATCATCTGAACACGATGCAATTTCATTATCATTGAAAGGATTCCATTTGAGATCAACAACAGGTCCTCGATGACCGGTTACACGAGAATGATCAACATCAACTCGTCCAACCTAAAATTTAATATTAATAGTTAACTAATATAGAACATTTTGTATTTCAAACAATAGTAGTAGTACCTACTTCACTTAATTGTAAAACAAGAAAACTTCCACCACCCGATGTTTCTGTGACAACAGCTAAAAATTTAGCATTAACAGCACAAAATCCACCATCATGAGCATTTCTCGTTATCGGTATATTTTTATAGCAACAATCTTCTCTGTATGGACTACCATAGACATGACGAAATTTCGATATTCGAACTTTAAATGGCATCTAAATAAGAATAGCGTAAAATTATTTAAAAAATATCTCAGATATAAATAATGTACACTAGTAAGTAATTTGTGTTCAATTACTGAATAAAATAAGAATTTTACTGAACAGTTCAGAGTTATCCTATCATTTTATTATCTTACATTCACACGAGTCATGAATGATAAAAAACGTCATATTCAATTTTTTATTTTATATTAATTTGTTTATTTACACCGAATATATCACGTCTTCATATTTCTGTTAAAAATGATAATCTTTTCAAATCAATTTGAAAAAGTTTATCATTTTTTCCTACTGCTTCAGAATAAATTAATATCCAAATGAATCAAATTGATTGAAAAAACTAATCTTATTTTTATGGGACACAGGAGGAGAAGAAGAATCAGAAGAAAAAAAAAAGGAACATTGCATATACGATTAGAAATGGACCATGGCTGTTCTATTATGAGATTCATTCATAACGTAAATATTACCAACAAGTAGGAGAATAGAGAAAAAAAAAAGATGACGAAAAACTGAACATTGTATTTATAAGTATTATTTGATTAATGAAGTTCTTCATTAAAAAACTTCCTTATTATTTTTTTTCTTTCCTTCTATACACAATTTTACTATATGATTTATTTTTATCTATCTAGTGATATTAACTCAGTCAACACTCTGAATAACATTAGGAAAAATGTTTAGAATATAAATTTCCTCTTTCTTTTTTTTTATTTTGTCTCTTTATTTTCCCTACAGTATTATACATATCTACAATTATTTTTTCAAATAAGAGACTCTATTACTACTATAATTACCCATCAATAGATACGATACAACTGATAGAGATATATTTGTAATATAAACCACAGTTATCATAATGTATAGAAATTCTATTGAACATTTTTTTATTTACAAAAAAAAAACCTAACAAAGTCTTCACAGAACAATCTCAAGAGAATTTTTTTTTATGTTGAAAATTTCTTAAGAATGCATATGGTATGTTAAAAAATAATCATAAATAAAAACATTTAATATATGTCTTTTACTATGTAAAGTTATTTGATAAAATAATAAGGTGCAAAATTTTTTTACTTTTATATTTATTCTAATCTGTATGTGGCTGGCTTCTCCATTTTCCAATAGAAAAAAATAAAAACGATTAAACATCGTAAGATGTTTCATTTTCATTATAATTATTTTCCAATCGATTTCTAACAGATGGGACGGGGGAGGAGGAAAAATTTGTAGAGTAAAAAAGAAAATTTATCAAAAACATTTACTCATTTCATAGATGAACTTTACAAAAAATTCTACATACCTCTCTAAACTCTTTCAAAAATTTTTGTCCATTTCAGCCACATAGGCAAAATTCTGGTTTTTGAATATGAACCATAATAAATGGCGGGGGCGGGGCGGGGGGGGGGTACGAATTAATTTCCCGTACCAATTTTTTTTTGTTACAAATAAATTATCTATATTAAAATATGTTTTTCTACTAGTTTTATTATATATATATTTTTTTTTTTTATTTGAAAATAGATACAAGGACGCATCCTTGGCTTTACAAGTATTTTTTTTTTTTGTTATCTCATTTCAACTCATTCTGTTATTATAGGTATACATAGATACATATACACGACTGTTCTTGAAGCTAACAGTGATTTCGTTTTTATTCGACTTTATGACAAGATACTGATAGGTTACATGAACAAAAAAAAAAGAAGAAAGAATTTTATTTTTTATGAGAGTTTTCATTTCAGAAGAAGAAAAATAAAATAAAAGACAGATGATTTTTATTATTAATTCTTTTGTATACATCTTTGTATAGACGAATTTATATTGAGTACTACTTAAGCACATGTTTTCTTCTTTTTTTTTCTTGTTGAAAACAACTCATCAAGTACAAGTAGTTTAATAATAAACAGGATATTTATTCATTGTTTAAAAGAAAACAATAGGCTGAATGAAGATGTTATGTAAAATGAAGAATGAACGTAATTTTTTCTCATTTTTTTTTTTTTCTTATTTCAATAGGCCACTTGATATAGGTAAAAAAAACATTAAAAATAGATTAGAGCTATTAGTGGCACAATGGACGTAATGTTGAGTAATCAAATGACCTGAAGGTCTACACTACACCTTTCATAAGACTTTTATCAACAAAATAAAACAAAGGAAAAAAAACAAAATGTTCGAAAGTAAAAAATTCATAACTATTGGATCTATTGATTTCATTATGATAGTGTAGACTATCGCGTGTAGATAGAAATTTGATTATCAAATCTAAGAATAATAATAATTTGAAATATATGATAGGAAAAAGATTTTTTTGTTTTGTTTTTTTGTTATTAAATAATACAATGAAAACGATAAGAAAGAATAGAGAATATTATTTTTTCTTTATATTTTTTTATTCGTACATTGCCTTACGAGGTGTCGAAAAGAAATAATAATAATGAAAAAAATAAAACGCGAAATCCTCTTGTGTGTGTGTGTGTGTGTTGATTATTTTGCTTTAGTTTTTTTTTCCTTTTTCAAAGAATTTTCATTTACACAAGTATAGACATAAATCCGCAAACTGTACAATCGAAAGTTTTCTATTTATTTTGTGGTCTTTCGACAGTGTGCGAACAAGAGATTATCTGTTGACACATAAACATAAAAATAGAAAAAGTAAATTATTTTTTAAATCGTTAATAATTCTATTTTCTTTCTCTTATTTCTCAATAAAAAAACAAAGAAAATATAAATTGATCATTTTCTTGTTCTCTTCTTTCACCATGTTAAACACAATAATTTCCGTGTTTTCTTTTCATTCAATTTATACTCCATAGATGTAGACTCTTTCTCATTTAATATCTCTTTTCTAAGCACAACATCATAGTGTCAAATTGACTAACATGGTGACATCAATAGAATGAAAAAAAGAAACTTCTGTGACTATATACTGACCATGTTGAGTAAAGGAACTGATATAAAACAAAGAAAAAAGATACTCAAAGAGAAAAATTAAATAAGAAAAATCCTATGGTTGCTATGTTCCTTGTCTTTTTCAAAAATCAAGATGATACAGACTAAAATTTCTTTGTATTCAATTAGAAGAAGAAAAAAATTTCAAGAAAAAAGCTGAAATTTTACATGTTTTAGGAAAAAGATATCTTCTAGACAAATGATGGAGGAATTGTAGATTAATTACTATAATATATAAATAAATTATTAAAAAGAAAAGAAAAACGAGAAATTTTTAATATAGATTAAAAAGCTTACGCTCTACTGAACATATGTATAAAAATGTTTTCTGACAAACATCTACTGTGACGCGGAGTATAAATGTTCCTTTAAAAACAACTCTGCTATGACAAAAACTTGATCATTATACAAGATTTATATGAATCTATCTCTTGTGTTTTTCACATTAAAATATTTTATTAAAAAACAACAACATGTCAACGATTTCATAAAGATTTTAGGTATGAAAAGATTATCTTGAAAATGTTGCATTTTGGAAAATAATTTTGTTATTGAATGAAGATTTAAGATATCTGACAAAGTAGATAATAATATTATAATGTAAATTGTTTATAAAAAGAACACTAATTGTAAGTTATGAATAAATTCTAAGAGATTGACTAATTATAAAGGAGTCAAAAATATATGTCTCGTTTTTTGTCAAATGAACCAACCATTTTTATATTTCATTTTGTCTTCTCTACTTTTCATCAAAACTTTTTGTTGCGTGAAACATTTTGGACAGTTACTGATAGTTGTCAAAGCACTAAATATCTTTTCTATAACATGTCCATAGTAATAATTATCAGAAATAGTGCATAGTACAAATGCCAATCTGTATAATACAATATCTGTCATTTTCTGTTTTTTTGATGATAGTTGATTTCATACGAAGGAGAAATGTTTTAAATATTAACTTTCTATTAGATGAAAGAGTAAAATCATAATATATGTTAAAATTTAATTAGTACCCAATCTGATGAATTGAATTGGACCTTGTAGTCCACATTTTTTCTCATCATCGATTTTTGATGGATCTTTTTTCTTTATTCATAAAATATATGTAATAATTGTATGAAATTCGATAATAGATAATCTTGCCAAGAAAAATAATGTAGCCTTATATTAAACTCAAGGATAATGTGTACATATAAACAGACTCACCTTTGAAGGAAGTGTCGAATATTTTCCTGTTTTTCTATATGTTCTGCAAACCAATACAAGTGGCATATCTTATTTATCTAATGCCCGATAAAAATAACAAGACTAATGGCTTCTCATACACGATTAACTGAACTGAACAATCGAGTATATATTAAGAATTGGTCACATATAGACGTACAATTTTAGTGTTTATACAAGAGAAAAAAGTAAAAATAAAAATGGGTCTCTATTGATTACTATGATCCAAAAAGTGACAAGAAACAAACGATCGTTCAATTATATAGGCTATCAAAGTTTGTCTGACAAACACACATGTAGGGGACAATTTAGTTCTGACAAAAAAAAAAAGAAAGAAGTCATACAATATAAAATAAACATAGATTGTTTGGACATAAAACAAAAAGCCACGTGTAGGAAGCTAATATGTTTCTCAAAACATTGATGATTTTTAAAGAAAATCATCGGTTATTCCCACTGGCAAATATACGCGTATATACTTTTAACTAGATGATAGGCGATTAATTAAGTTAGCTGTTGTCAACTAACCATACACTTTCATTCAATCAAAATATTACACAATATTCTTAGAGAAAAACGCCACTTGATGATATATTTTATTATTTATCACACGTTGTTCTGTTACTGTAAAATCAGATATTTCTATTTTTTCTCAATATTTGTATTATATACCATTGTGATGATGATTATTGTCAATCCCATATGTTCAGCAGTCATGAAATTTGATAGACCATTTCCATATCTTTAATTCTGTTAACTTTTTCCACCGAATCTCGCTTCTCTTCATCCTGTGCGGGATTTCGTCCGCAATCCTGCAGAATCTTGTCATACCTTGACAGATTAGGATTCAGGACATATGACTCCAAATTTTTAACTTTTATATTCTAAGTAAGTTTTTCAGACAAAATGACTTCAAAGGTTTGATCTCTAACTATGCACTATTTTCTACGATATATTTCTTTTTGATTTTGATTTCCCT